TTTTTTTTAGGTGCTTTAATTGAAATCAATGCGTAAGTAAACAGTAATTTCAAAAATGGGGCACCACAGATGAGGTGGGAACATACTTCAAAAACTTCAGCTTCCTAAATTCACCGCTTGCAGAGTTGAAGGTGGATGACAGCAGTGCAAACACACATAAACCGTGAATCTCACATCAATAATGCATTCTTGCATTTTCACAAATGTGCAAAAACGCACAAAAACGCTCGTTCGAAAGAACGGTTTGTGAAGCACATTGTTTGTTCGGTCAGAGTTAAGCGCTCGTTTTTCGCTTCGTTGTGACTTACAGTAACCAAGCAAATTGATGAAACGACCCTTGAATTGTTGATGCGCTTGTGTAGTGGATCCGATAGGTAGCAACTGTATCAAACCATGGACAAATTCGGTCATGCTTTGCTATATGCAAAATTGTGAAACTATACAATATTCCCACTTCCCCTCCCTCCTAATTCCAAGTCAGGAACTGACAAAAATTTAGTCTGTGGTCCTGCCTACTGGCAGCGATTTTCATGAAATTTGTCCCAGAAATAAATATATGCCATTTCTGGTACACAAGAAAAGGATGGGAGATAGCTTTTGAGGGAGAAGGATGAGTTAGAACTGACGCAAGGAAAATATGTGGTGGTGAAGGAACAGGGAGTGGTGGGGAGGAGAAGTGGAATGGGGAGAAGAGGGGAAGAGAGCAGAGTTTCTAAACAATATTCTACAAAAGAACTAATGTATTTTCGTGAAAAGCTGTTATGGAAAAAGCAGCGACATGAATTTACTGTAAATGGGAAACCACATTTGCTTCACCTCTTTTGAACGGTTTCGCAGTGTTGTTTCTTCCGGGAATTATGTAGAATACAAGCAATGATGATGACTTCCGTGTTAATGATGCCAGTGACGACGATTCTGCACAAATGATCATAACGACGATGGCTTTGACGATGACTGTTGTTATGACTAAGATGTATTGAGAACTGTATTCCATCCAACATTCGTTGGTGTATACATGAAAGCATTTTGGCATTTTCATACCTCCAGTTTGGCAGTCGCAAGACTGCACTAACCTACAGGTAGTTCTAGCGTTTGATTTTGCAATTTTAATGGAGAAACAGATGGGACTACGGTTAAATACATCGCTTGACAGTGGTTGCTTACAATAACCCAGGCTGGAACGCACCAGGATTGCCGGTGCGATCATGCGCTTTTGCATTAAACTTGCAGATCGCTAATAGCAGAATGATCTCTGCGCTGCAGCCTAACAATTGGACCCATACTGGCCGTGTTTTGGCCTCTTCTGGTATCACAGGGTAGGGCGTCTACTGTGATGAAGGTTTTGCATTATAGGGCCGGATGAACCTCCAGGTACATGATTATCAGTTTTCTGCACGAAGCCTGATCGGTTTTTCGGTAAACGCTTACTTTTTGAAAAATGTAAATTTCATGGAAATTGGAAGAGAACAATGAAATTTGCAAAATGCACTCGATTCTGAGTTTGCGGTAAGGATGAGTATTTCTCATAACCACCTGCAGGGAATTTCACATCCAAGCAGAATTAAAATCACACATGAAAGTGGAATATCTCAACGAATTTTCAGCCACTCAATTCACTTCGCTACAAATATCTTTAAAGTGCTCAAAGTGATGGCGAAAATGCAAATCGGAACTCACTTTAGGTATACGATTTTCCATATGGGCGATAAATGTGCTGGCAAAACTTCAGTCACTTTTTCCCAGCTAGTTTTAACATAGTGCCAAGTGCAAAATTTGACTTGATCGTACGAACTGCACAAACATGTGCGATAGCTGAATTTGAAATCTTTAGCTCGTACATGCGTAGGGAATATCTCTGCAAAGTTTCAGCTTCGTACCTTGCCTGGGTCGCGAAATTGCTTCCCGTCAAAGAAATCTGCATATTTTTTTCGAGGGTCCATGCTCGAATTCTAGGCGCGTATGAGCGAAGATTTTAAAACAGGAGGATGACACACGGAGTGGGAATATGCTCCCAGAATTTCATTCTCCCAGCTTCCCTCGTTGCTGAGTTGAAAGTGAGTGACAAAGTTCACTCGATTCCGAACACACACACAAACACACACACAGACAACCTCAATATAAGATGCGTTTTTGCTCGCTGCAGCAGAAATGCACAAAAATGTGGTGCTTGTGAAAAACAACGGTTAGCCACACTCAACTTTTCAAGAAGACGGAAATGAATGCCTAGGAGTCTTCAGGAACAGAGAGTGTGGTTTCAAGAACGCATGGTCATCGAGCTTGGATGCTATATTTATGCGTTTTTGCATAATATGCAAAAACACATATTGTGACGACCCCGGTGTATGTGTGTGTGTGCGTATGTGCGTGTGTGTGTGTGTATGTGTGTGTGTCTGTGTGTG